ATTGTTGGGTTCAAAGCACTGCTTTTACTACTATTATTGTGAACTCAACTACAAAGGCAAAAGGAAACAGGACAACAATTGTACAGATGACTGAAACTGAGGCCAACAGAATGCCCTGTGCATTCTAGAGCAATCTGTGGAAAAGTATTGGGGAGTACCGAACACGCTGCCTCAGCTCTTCCCCTCATTTACAAACACACGTGTGGCTTTTCTGGGAAAGCTTGGTGGTGGATATAAACCTTCTTCACTCAGTAGTTTCCTTTCCTTGCTTGTACGTCAGGCATAACACAGGGAACATAGTGGAAAGAGATGTAGGGTTGGACGCCTAGCTTTCTGCACAACTTAACTGGCTGTGATACTTGGTAAATTACTTAACTTCTATGAGCCTCCTTTTGGATTCCTAAAATAGGGCAAATATAACTTCAAAACTGTCGTGTAAGGGTTACATGAAATAGAATATTTAAGAATTTCATCGAGAATGCATTCAGTAATCACTATTTAGCTTTAATTCAAATTGGATACTTAGGGCAGTAGGAGGAAATCATGAAATCTACAAAGAAAAATGTATGCCCTCTCATGGATTGCTTTCATATACCACCATCACCAAAACAAACACAGAAAACCAAAAATACATTAGCACATATGAGAATTTGCAATGTGGTTATAATAAAGCTTAACAATTCACTCCGATGCACGCTCTCTCTTTTGGGTTGCTTCAACAACAATCTAAATTCCTCTTTATCCATGCTTCTTTCTTTGTCCTTGAGATGCATGGGAGCATGGATTGCGATGCTGGCCATTCCATCAGCAGTTCACTTAGGCATTATTAAAACAAATTTCCAATGCAATAAAGCCTCTCCCTTTTGTAAAAGTAAATTCTATTAAGTAAGCCTGGGAACATGTGAGGTTGCCAAATCTGAAGCAAGACAGCCTTGATGACTTCAGTCCTTTCTCAGCCTTGATTACAATTTGATTTCCTTTGGCATCAAAAGACAAACTATTTTAGTGAACAATGTTCTTCCTTTAGCAAGAGTGAGATCTAGTTACTTGGCAAAGGACCTGTTCTTTTGCCAGACAACATGTCCAACCTTTTAGCAATAGCAGAAACAGTGATCTGACTGAAGAGCCACACACGTGAGGAAAATGACAGGATATATATGGCTCCTGAAATGCATATGTTGGAGCACCAGCTGGCTAATTACATGTCATCATTGTCTTCTCAGGTGTTTTCTATGAGGTCACATTTGGGAATGAAAGCTATGCCCTTCATTGGTCCTTCACCTGGGCATTTAAGTTAGTATGTTTCAAATTTTTATATTCTACTCAAAATTCTTTTTTGTTCCCTGGTTCTTCCAAAGAAGTCACTTGATGTTTAAAGCTAACTGAGTGGCTTCAATCTGCTGGGGAGCCATGTAACCTCCCCTGACTTCACACTGACGAGTTGCTCTCACAAGAACTTTTTGCTTGTTTCAACCACGTGAACATCTTTCCTTGGGAGTTCATCTGAGGTTTCAGCTTGTTCGTGTAATCTAATTTGATTATCTGGTGAGTATTGTTAATATTACTGCTAGCTTCATATTAGCAAGTTGACTTTCCTCCCGTTCTACCAGGAAGAATTTTCCGTGTGTGTGTGTGTGTGTGTGTGTGTGTGTGTGTATGTGTGTGTGTGCGTGTGTAGGAGTCAGAAGCATTTCTGCTCTCTAACTGGGCAAGCAATAGTACTCAAAGACTCTGGGTACTGCTGTTAACACTGTGCATTTCTCACGCTTGAGGAGAACACTGATCACACATCCTTGTCCCCAGTACTTTCCAATTTGGACCAGTACTGTTCCAAAAGAGAGAGCATCTGTAGCCACATGGATATGAAACAGCCTGCCCTATTAACAAGACATATGGGAGCCAATCTATATGCCTATATAGGATCCACAATGCTACTTGCCTAGAAAACTATCTGTAGGGTCTATAACTTAATCCTTTTGAAATCTCGAACCAACCAGAACCCTAGACTAAACCTGACTACCTGGAGTTCTCCAACCAAGTCTGTACTACAGGACTCTCCCCATGCCTCAAATCTTTTCAATCTTTTCCTAAAAATATATCTGTTCTCTGTCCTATTCTTGCAGAATGCTGCTTTTTGCTGGTTGATGAACTAATCTGACATGTGTGCCAGATCTAAGGTGTCAGTAGATCCCAATGTACTAATGGTTCCCTCTCATGTACCATATTTGCATTTTAATGGAAGCATGCTACAGACAATTAGTTTAACCCCACAAATGTTGGCTTAATTTGGTAGAAATTTCTGACAGCAAGACAGAACCTCAGGGGAGGATAACATATTTGGAGGTAAATGAGACTTAGAGCATTTATATAATTATATCATATAGGCATATATCAAAAGTTGGTTTAATTATTGGTTAACTAACTATAGCACAGAAACAAAAATCTCTGAATCAAGTGCATATGAAATACCAGAATCATCCATATTTGGCCATCCTGATGGAAAAAGCAGGGCATCATCTCTTTTCATACTCAAAACTTTTAGCACTTCCATTTCACACTAACAATCCAATAAGAACTTTGCCTGAGTTGATTTTATAATTCTTTTGGTTTTTTTAAATATAATAGTAAAACATCCGTTTCAAGAGATACTATAAATTTGATGGGGGGCATTTATTATGACTCGAACATCTTTGTCCTCACTCTAATATAGTTGAGTGGATCCTCAAATTACATCTTTGAGCATTTCTTAGATAGAGAGGCAATTCAACAGTAAGAGAAGATTCAATCTCTGAGTTCAAGTTATTTCTAATCTAGCGAAGAAATTAAGCATACATATGAAAACAACCTATGTGTCATGAAAAATATGTTTTGATGACAAAGCAGATATCATTTCTGAGAAATTTAGGAATGGTTTAATTATTTGTGAAAACAGAAAAGAGCTCTGTAAAATTAGATTCTTTCCTAACAATTCTGCAGGTCCATAACAGAAAATATGGAAAATACAAGTGGTTTATGGAAATAATATCGAAAATAGTACAAACCCCGCTCGATAGGGATGTGAATAATAAATGCCACTCAACTAGAAAACTTACTGGCTAGTTACATGTATGTGTGAGAGCATTACATTTTAAAGACTTGAGGTGATACCATACAGAATACTATCATGCTTATTTCACTTAGCTTTAAATTATTAAGTTTTCCCCATACCATATAACTTTTTCAAAAACATATGTCTCATATTTTTGTCCAAGCTGTTAAACAACACCTAAGTAGATATGGGTGAAAACCAAGAGCAAACCACATATAATGTTGGAAAACACCAGGTAGAGTGAAGTCATCCTTATTTTTAAAAGAATTATACTCAAAAACACACACTAACATTATTAAAAAGAAAGGCGGGGACTGAGTTCTAATGGAGACTATAAAAAAAATACCAGGCAGACAGCATATTGGAACATCATCTAAGGACTCAGAAGAAAACAATATCTCTGAACATTATTAACAGGACCCATAAGAAATGCTTTTAAGTTTTTGAAATTCTTTATAACAATAATATTGTTTACAGCTGTTGCTTCTCAACTTTTTTAGCAAGAGAATCTTATTTTTCATATGAAGAATCCTGATATAGAAAATCCGGCAAAGGGCGGGCTTGGAGCTGTCAACCACGGCTGATCAGGAGAAAGCTCTGCTCTGGTTTCAGATCAGTAGTGATAATAGTGAGCTCTGGCTGGCATCGTTATTATCCAGGAGATTAGAAATTACCCAACCTCCCTACACCTTCCAACCTGGAGCAATAGGCTTACTGTGGCTCTAATGCAGGCAGTATGCATTTATGGGGAATCTCCAGATTGAGAATTTTAATCATAACCTTTGGAAATGTCCTTCAAAGACCCCATCTCAACATTAAAAAGCAAAACAAAAATCAGGAGGATAGACTAGAAATCTCTCTGCTGATCCAGAACAAGCTGGTTGGAATTTGGGGCCAGGTCTGCTCTCAAATGTCCCTGGATGGGGTAGGATGTGAAGAAGTTAATATAAGACAAGGTTATGTTATGTCCCACTTTGCCTGTAATCCATGATTATCTCTGACTGGTAGGGAAACTGAGGCACAGGGATGTTGAAGGCTGGAAACCACACAATGCACGAGCGTGGAGACATCAGGTCCCAGCACGGTCTTGGTCCCAAGGCCGAGTTCTTCCCACGGCACGAAACGTTAGCTCCATGTATGGGTCCTTTCAGAAGTCATTTCAGGGCAGTTCTCTGAGTTTTATCCATTTCATTTTCTTATTTCCTTGGCAGATAAAAAAAAAAAAAAATCACAATATAAAATCAGATTTCAAAACAAGTAAAAAAACATATGTGTGGAAAAATATTATAGTTCTTTTTTTTTTTTTTTTTTTTTTATCCTCACCCACCCGAGGACATTTTCCCATTTTTTTTTTTATTCAGGTAGAGTGGGAGGGAGAGAGAGGAACAGAGAGAGAGAGAGAAACATCAACGTGAAAGGAACACATCGAGTGGCTGCCACCCACACGACCAACCAGGGCCAGGGACAAACTGCAACCGAGGTACGCGCCCTCAGTGGGAACCGAACCCGGGTCTCTCAGGACCGCAGGTCGACGCTCCAACCGCTGAGCCAAACTGGCCAGGGCTATAGTTCTTTTAAGAGAACTATAACATGTTAACTTTGTGTGGCAACGCCTGGATGATGTGACAACAGTGGTTTATTTTTTATTCCCGTGTGTGTGTGTGTGTGTGTGTGCGCGCGTATGTGTGTGTGCATGTATGTTTACAAAACCTCTACTAACTAATAATGGGAGAAAACAATGAGCTTATTTGTTAAAAAAGAAATATAAGTTGGTTAAATTTATTTCCCTCTACCTAAACACACACACACACACACACACACACACACACAAACAGAACACACATAGTAAGCAATACATAGATGTTTAAGATTTACAAGTCATTGTTTTTCCTCTATATTTAAAAAACTCGTGGTGCTTGCTTCGGCAGCACATGTACTAGAATCGGAACGATACAGAGACAATCAGCAAGGCCCCTGCGCTAGGATGACACACAAATTCGTGAAGCAGTCTGTATTTTTTTAAAATTTTTTTTCTGGATTTTCTATAATGAACAAATAGTACTTATATAAGTGTTACTTTAAAATGAAAAAACAAAAAACAAAACTGTCCATTTTTTCCCTATTTCCTACGTAGAATAAGCCAAAATTGAGCACAGTTGAACCAGAAAATATTTCTAACCAGTATTTACAGATTTATTTAACCCAGAAGTAGGACTCGAGCACATTAAATAATAGCAGAGGTCATCGTTTTAAGAAGTTTTTGTTTGCCAGACACTGTTCCAGGGCTTCAGGCACGTGATCTCTTTAATACTCCAACAGTCCTATGAAGTAAATACAACCACAGGTTTTCACCTTGCAGACAAGGAAACTGAGGCCTAGAATGTAGGGTCTTTACGAAGAAGGTGGGAGCTGGACTTGAAGCCAGGCAGCCTGTCCATAGACCCTGCCTAACCACAAAGCCAGGCTTCCTTAAAGAGAGCATAAAGGGTGGACCAGATTTCCACAAGCCATCGTGCAATCCTCCCTAGCAACAGCATGTTTCAAGATTCTATGCGAATATTCCCTGGGGTTCACACAAATGACGAGGTTGTATGCAAAACCACAGTTCTTCTACTTACTAGAAGGAGCCTCTTGGTGCAAGTAAACACTAAGAGTTCCAGCACATTTTGCATCAGCTGGTTTCCAAAGTTCATCCCTTTCAGGTTAGAAAAAAAAAAAAGGAAAAAGTATATATGTATGTGTGTATATGTGTATATCTATCTATCTATCTATCTATATAGATAGATAGATAGATATATACACATACATATATACCACACATACACACATATATACATATACAAATAAATACTACATATATTCCTTGTATGGGTTCATATATATTCTATGTACATATATATTCATATATATATTCATATATATATATATATATATATATATATATATATATAATTTTTTCTTTTAATTAAGGAACCAAAATTTGACTTAGGGAGAGAGTTGTTGGTTTAATCACTAGCATCACTTCCTTCACCATCTTGATAATGATTTAGAAAAGGAAAAGGGAACAACAATAGTTTCATAATGGTCTTTTCCATGGGAAAGAAATATTAAATACCAAAGACCTATTCAACCTGAATGTGGGAACCTATTATTCTCTGATAAATCTTCCATGGTGGGATGAATTCATAATCTTAACCAATTATTAATGAACAGGATCTGAAGGATTTGTGAGGGTTCCAGCCTTGAACATGAGCAAACAAAGTCATTTATGTGCTTCTCTCCAGCAAGCAGTTGCCTTGCCTACAGCAGGGATGGTGGCTGTCAATCAGTCGCTCATTCATTCATTCAACAAATACATGAACTCTGGAATTCTAATTAACTTGTGAACAAGTTTAAATTTCAACCCTCTAGGAGTTTATGTTCTAGTGGGTGAGGCCAACAGCAAACAAATAAACAAAAATATAAAAATGCTATAAAATGAAATAAAGTAGGTTAAGAAGAGAGAGACAGCAGAACGGGTGGGGCGCATTATTTAAGAGAGGGGTTCAGAAAAGCTCTCTCCACGGAGGTAATGTTTCAGCAGAACAATTGAAAAGAGGTCCAGGAGGAGGGAGCTGTGGTTCAGATACTCTGAAGCAGAACTAGTACATATGGTCATGTGCAGTGAGGAGGCAATTATGCTACGTGATCTGATCTAGTAGGTGAGTGTCGAATGGGAGCAATGTTACCACCCGGGATACATATGGAAATGCCTGGAGACCCCTTTGATTGTCACATCCAAGGTGGTGGTAGGGGTGAGTTTCACTGGCATCTAATGGGTAGAGGCCAAGAATGCTGCTAAACACCCTACAATGCACGACCCCCAACAAACAATTATCCAACCCAAGATGTCAATAGTGTCCACAGTTGAGCAATCCTGTTCTAAATTCTCCACTACAGTCTTTCACAGACTGCTCTGTCTTTTCTTGTGATTAAGGAGATAATTTAGACAGGAGGCTGAGACAAACTTTTGTCCCAGATTGTACACATCCTCTCATGAGGAAGAAGCAATGCTGAACTCACCATATATTTGCTGTACCAAATGACTAGAAAGTTGCAACACTTCAATAGAACATACAATAAAGAGTTTAATATAGAATCGTTATTACCTTTACAAAATCTTTAGCTGCAATATTAGGGAATACAAACAAAGTGCAGTATAAATGCCTAATCCATTTTGAACCTTCTTTATATTGCCTCATGTTTTGGCTCCATAGCATAACTTGGTTACATATGTCACAACACAATCTTATTTCCAATTTGCATCCCCCAAATTTGGCAGTAAACAGGGCAGTTACTACTAAAAGGGTTGATTGCAACCCAGGAAAAGGAAAGATTTAGAAAATGATGAAAAAGGAGAAAAAATGCAGTCCACAGAGATTAGAAATGACCTGGACAGTTGAAGGGGGTGAAGAGATACAGATCAGCTGGGCTGTGGCAGGTGTCAGGCATCACCAGCGAAGACAGCTCTGAGATGCCCTGGCAAGATCATATTGTACAAGAACCAATGATCGCTGCACAGAGAATGGACGGAGAAATAAATAGAGAAAGTCAAAGGTTAAAATTTCTAGTTTTCTTGATGCAGTGTTTCCAATACCTTTCAAGCAAAATGTGCCTATTTCTGCTACAAAAGATGTCTGGGATTTTGGTCTTACAATTTCCCCCTTTGATTATGGGAGATTGATTTATATTGCTTTCTTCCCCTCTGCCTCCCACTCTACCCTCCTTCTTCTACGTTTATGAAGGGGAGATCTAAGGAGAGAGGCAATGTGAGGGAAATGACTCCACTAGGAACCAAAATGAGAAGAAAAGCTTACAGGTCTAGAAATTTGTGTTCACTAAGTTGCATCCACATAAATTAAGTAGAATACAGTATATTGGTACATAGTGATGCTCAAATAACTATGTCTAGTATAAATGTATAAAATTTATGAGATTTTAAATATTTCTGAAATTTTGGAATTTATAATTGTGCCTATGCTGATGATATGGATTTACCAGTTGTATTCCCCACTAAAATGTATATAAATGATTAAATATATTAAAAAGTAGAAGACATCAATGACCTACCCAAATGAGACCTCCCAGCAATGTGATAGAGGACGTCAAACCAGATATTATTCCCATGTGAAATAGTATTATGCATTTATTACTGCATCTGTCTAGTTTCACAGATCATTAATAAGACCGTCCAAGAGGAGATTGCACTGTTATTGCTTATCGCGTTTATTATCTAGGCCACAGCAGTAGACACATATTTCCAGCATAAATAGCATACAGTTCGGGTACCTTTGAAGTCAGTCATCTATCTTAGATGCTGATAAATGTCTCTTCACATCACCAGGTAAATTTACATTGTCTAGAATTAGGGGAGGCTGAGAGCACACAAGTATATGAGATGAAGGTGTTCATTCAGAATGGGGGAAAGGAGTGAAAAGGGGCCCAGTGAAGACCACTTTGCCCACCAGCAGAGGATGCAGGCTACTGAATGTGGTGCAAGGTTTAGTATTGGCCACACATTGTTGGGAAAATAAAAGTTGATAACCATCAAGTCTAGATTTTAACAGAGAGATTAATCTTGTGTCTATTTGGAATATGTGATTTTTTTTTTTTTTTTTTGGTATTGGTGGCAGTTTTTGTTTTGTTTTGTTTTGCTCTGCTTTGTTGTTTTGTTTTTAAGAGTAGGGGTGCCTGGGACGTGAACTTAACATGGACCTGGTGAGCCACAAGTTAGTCATCTGTCGTCTGCCTTGAGTTTCAGGGGCGCTTGTGCCGGGGTAGGAATCCCTGAGAAGGTTACAGGAAATCGCCCGGTGGGTGTAGCTTCAGAGGGCTGGGTGGACAGTGAACTGCATTTCTTTTCCCATCAGTGTCTAAATTTGTCTCCATTGTTTCTTTTTTTTCTCTCTCCTACTAAAATGGGACTTGAGCCCAGTGAGGGACAACAATATCTTAACAGAGAACTCTGAGAATCGAAGACAGGGTCATCGGCATTGTCTGAACTCCATGTGCAACAGAGATTACACCCACAGAAAACAAAAGAACTACGCAACAGAAACGGCCGCGGCCAGTAAACAAGAGAAACGTGACTGCTGGAGCAGGCGTCTTCCTGCAGAGGCTGAAGTCGGTGGAAAGTAATTGTTCTTCTCCCACCCTACCCCCATCGTGAGCCTGTTGCCATGAAAAAGAGAATCCCGACAGCTAGGTTTTCCTAGGGCTCAGGATTCTCCTTGGGTGTGAGTTAAGGACTTTCAGAAGCTGTGGGAACGGAAATTTAATCAACACAGTCTCCTTGCTCTAAAGGGAACCCAGTGGCCTCCAAGTATTAATGCAACTTACAGTAGTCCTATTACGATGACTGGGAGAAATCTGACTCAACATATAATAGAGGACAGTGCAGTCCAATATTTTTCATTAATATGGGCTATTTGACTTATTAAATCAATGAATGGCACATAAGGCAATGACCCAGATGATACGTTTATTGTAGTTTCATATAGCAAATAACTTTGCAGTCACTCAACAAACATTTTTGTATGCCAGATTTTTAACTCAGCAGTGGGATTCAAGTCCAGAGGTAGAGCTCTTAGCTGCTTTGCAAACATGAGCACTTGTGATTTTAAGAATCCCATCTCTAAAAACATGATACACACAAAAGTTTAAAAGAGCACACTACCTCTTGATTTTGGAGATTCATAGCAAACACAACATACCCATTATAGAAGTCTTTGGTGGTTATATTTTACAAGATTGAAATAATGCAAATAGCCACAGACTTGCTAAACTGGATTGAGTCTCTTGATACTTTTAAGATAGCCATGCCTCAATCACTCTTGTAGCATCTTGGGAAATACAGACAGGGGCACAGAACTGGTGTGACTCAGACACACCAACTCCCACTATCCTGGCGTCTGCAGCTGAGCACACCTCAGCGCCCTCTCCGGTGTTTGCTGATGCTATCTCTCCTGAAAGTGAGTTAT